CACACACACACACACACACACACACACACACACACACACACACACACACACACACCCATTCCCTCGCTGGGCACCAGGCTACCACAGGGACAGGTGTGGCTGGGGTGGATTGGGTTGGAACGAGGGCTTAGGCCGGGCTTCAGGATTGAGGAGATCCTGGAAGACACAGGAGCAGGCAGGCTACAGCCACGCACTTGAACCTCCTTCTGTCTGCTCACCACTTGCTCTGTGACCTTGGGCTTCACTTTCCCCTCTGTAAAGTGGGTTTATAGCGCATACCTCACAGGATTCAGTGAGATGATGCCTGTGAGGAGCTCAGCACCGCACCTAGCTAGTGCAGCAGCTTGTCTCCAACCCAGGTACCTACCTCTAGAGTGGAGGGGAGGAGAGGGGAAGGCTGGGGGAAGTCGGAGAGGAGGGCCATCTAAGTTTTCTTCTGAAAGGTTGGAGAGTGGGCTGAGACCCACACTCTTAACCCCGGTGGACAAATCTCCCCTTTCATGATAGCAGAAACAGAATCCCCAGGAATACGAACACCGTCAAGGTACTTGAGGTCGCTGCCACCAATAAACACGGACTAATACCTTTATGAACTTGTACTGCTACTGGAAACACCCACAGCCCAGCCTCAGGCCACAAGGTCTGTTGCAGCGGGGAAAGGTTAGGGAGACATACAGACCAGCTGGCCTCCAGTTCCTAGCCCCATCACCTCCCTGCTGCCTTTGAGTCCAGTGCCCAAAGCAACTCCCCCCATCCTTCTCCAGGCCCTCTCCAACCCCTTCTCCCTTTCCTTATGAGTACTCTTAGTATCAGACTTCCTCCCCTCCTCTATTAAAATCAGCTCCTACTTGGGGGTCTTGAGGTCTCACTGAGCCTTCACAATCGCCCCTAGGTGGAAGGTAAGATATGACTCCCAGGAAACAGGACAGGGAGGTGCATTAACTTGCACTGATGAACATTTAGGTTGGTTCCGACTCTTGGCTAATGTGAATAGAGCCACAATAAACATGGGTGCAAGCACAGGTGTTTCTAAGAGCAGTACGGGAGTGGGAGTGGGTGTTGAGAGGTGACAGCTAACACGGGTTTCCGTTTGTTTCATATGGTATGATGTACCATATTTCCTAAACGTCCCTGAAGATAAGAAACACCTGGAGAGCTAGTTAAAAACAGGACCCCTAGGCTTCAGCACAAACTGCTGAGTCAAATTTCCCTGGAAAGAGTCCTCCCGGGTGTTTCTTACCATCAGAACACTGAGCTAGATCAATTATCAGACAACTTTGAGAAAAGATCTTCAAAACACTAACATGTTGGGAATGTTTCCTAGACTTTATTATAAGCATTACATGTATTACCTCATTTAATCCTCACAACGACCCTCTGAGAGAAGTATTATTATCTCCATTATACAAGGAGGAAACTGAGGCACAGAGCATATCGCCCCAAGCAATTAATAAAAATGCATACACACTGAATTAGAATCTCCAGGGAAGGGGCCGTGGAATTGATATTTTGAAACAAGCCTAACCCTCGCTCATTCTGTAGATCAAGTAAGTTTGGGAGACTGGGCTACATGGTTGTCCACTAGGGGCCAGCAGCCAGCAACAGGCTCTGGGTGGCAAAGGTGGTTCATTCTCTCACTATGGTGATGGTGCAGCTGATTGGTCCTCCTCCCCCCACCCTCCTCTTCCACACAGTGACCAGAGCACCACCCCCACCTGAGCCCAGGGTTGAAACACAGCCTGAGCCAAAACCCGAGCCTAAACCAGAGCCTGAGCCAGTCAAGGAGGAAGAAAAGCCACTACCGCCACTACCTCCTCCTCCACCCCCTAAGGTTTCTGTAGTTCGGGAGTTGACTGTTGGCATCAATGGGTGAGTCTTCTCTGGCCCCTGAACCATTCCTGAAAGCCTCAGGACCCAGCTCCTCCTCTGGTTACTAACTGGAGGCACCCCCATATTTCTCACCATCAGTGCTTTCATTCTGCTAACCCTGGAGAAACAGCAGGGAATAAGGTAGACAGGGCCCTGCCCTCAGAGAGCTCACATGCTGGTGGGAAAGACAACAATAATCAAAGAATCAAGATAGTTCCGTGATGCATGTTGTGAACAGTATAGAACTCAGTGGCATAGTAAGGCCAGAGAGGGCAGCATTAGCTGGGGTGGCCAGGGAAGGCCTCTGGGAGGTGACTGTGGAGTGGGCCCTGAGTATGAAAACTGTGCACCTTGATGGGAAAGTGTCTTTTAGGCAGAGGGACAAGCAATGGCTCTGGAGTGGAGGAGGTAAGCTCAGTGTCCTCAAGGACAGCCAGGAAGTCAGTGTGGCTGGTGTGCAGCAAGCAAGGGGAGAAGTGGGGTAGAAGGCCCGGCAGAAGGTTGGTACACCATGGTAAGGAGTCTGTATCTTGTTTTACTGGTAAAGGAGTCATGGAGATTTTCATGCCAAGAGACATAATCTGATTTGAAGTTTGGGTTGGTTTTTTTTGTCGCTAGCCAGTACAGGGATCCGAACCCTTGACCTTGGTGTTATCAGCATCACATTCTCGCAAGTGAGCAAAACCAGCCAGCCCCGTGACTCGAAGTTTTAAATGATCCATGCAGCTACAAAGTTAAGAATAGGGGGTAGTGGATGGATGGGGAGAGGAAGCAGCAAATGCAGTTGAGAGGCTGGTGAGGTCATCTGGGCAAGAAATGATAGTGGTTGCCTTCTAACCTCAGATTGAGGATCCCCCCCAGTCCCCTTGAGTGGGCCTCCTCCCCTTTACCATCTTCTTTCCCATCCCCTCCTCTGCCTGTCCCTGGACAGATTTGGACGCATTGGTCGCCTGGTGTTGCGTGCCTGCATGGAGAAGGGCATTAAGGTGGTGGCAGTGAATGATCCATTCATTGACCCAGAATACATGGTGAGCAGCAAGCAGAGGGCAGGAACAGGAGGGGTGGGACTGCAGTGGGAGGGGGTTCAGGGGAGTTCTGTGGAAGGCTCCCAGCTGCAACGTGGTACCTTGACCAAGGTGCTCACTCTACCTCCCAAAGACTAGGAATCCATTCTATCTCCTGCAGGTATACATGTTTAAGTATGACTCCACCCACGGCCGGTACAAGGGGAATGTGGAATACAAGAACAGACGACTGGTTGTGGACAACCGTGAGATCAGCGTCTACCAGTGGTAAGGGCGGCATCTGCCTGATGCACGCCTGAGACATATTAACACAGGGGGCATGGAGAGACTAAAATGGGACTCCTGCCTCTTACATGGGCCCCCCCAAATTGTGTGCGGGCATGTCTCTGGGCACTAGTTTGGAGAGGGAGTCTCAGAGAGGTCCTTGACTCCTAAAATGGTTAAGAAGCACTAATCTAGAAAGATTCCCCTCTGCACTCAAGAATACTTTTTATTTAACACATATTTGCATTTGCTTTCTCACAGACCTGTCAATTCAACATGTCTACAACTCAGTTCTTGATTTCCCTTCAACCCCCAAACCAATCCATCTCCTGTCTCAAGAAATGGCATCACCACATAGCCAAGTCCTTCCAGTCAGGTCCTATACAGCAGCCACAGGGGGCTTTCTAAAATATCCACTGGACCCAGTTACTCCCCTACTTAGATCTTCCAATGGCTTCCTATCACCCCACGAATAAAATCCCAGCTCCTGATAGGGCCCCCCAAAGCACTATGCACCGCGCCCTGCAGCCTCTCCGTGTCACCTCAGCCACCCACTTCCTGGGGCCCTGAGCCAGCACCTCTCACACCAGCACATTTCACAGAGTTGATGCTAATACTTATCCTTCAATAAACCTACCTTACCTTTCTAATATAAATTATTAGCCACTGCTGGCCCTGTGGCTGCCTCAGAGTCTTACACACATGCACACACATGCTCAGGCACACCTGTGAACCCTCTCCAGCTGCAGCCAAGTTCTGCAGCTTTCCCAGCACCCCTTCCAGCAGGTCTACTCTCAGCCCCCTCACTTTTTACCTACTGGGGGTAGGGTGAGTGATAAAGGAGCAGGGACGGCTTGTGGCGAGGTGGTGGTCAGGGATGGGTGTGGGGAGGCGGGGACTGAAGAGTCAGTGAAAACGGAAAAAGTTGCTTGACCCAAGTTTGAAATCATGACATCAAATCAATTCCAGAGCAGTCATTCAGACATACTGTATCCTTTCCCACTTCAGCTGGGCACCATCATTCCTACCACTTGGGGCATTCTCCTCCCCTGTCCTGTCCTACACAGCTGCCCCCTCCTTGTGCACCCCACTCAGATGTTGCCCTCGCTGGTCACTGCCGTGTAGCCCTCCTCCCCACTCCTCTCCATCACTGCACTGTTCGTGTTCTCCAGGCACTTAGAACAAGCCATGTTGTTTGTGTGTACTCTACTCTGCTCCACCCCTTCCTAGTTGGGAGACCTTGGACAAGGGACCAAACTTGTCCAAGCCTGCTTCCTTATGTATCCAATGGGGATGGTTTACCCAGCAAGAGTGGCATTAACTCGTGTTTGTGGAACACTTGGAAGGGCATCTTCCTACCAGGCCTCAGCATCCTTGCAGGGAGGCCCTGTCAGTTTGTGCTCACCACTGCTGCTTTGGCACTGGCAGGTACAGGCCCTAGCTCTTGGTAGACACTCAGTACTTCCTTGAAGAATGAATGAATGGATGGAATCCTCAAAATGGCCCGTGGGCAGGAGGGCAAGGCCTATGACAGCCTCAGGGGAGGGACTGGGGTCTTTGGGGGCTGACTGCCTCATGCCAACCCAGCAACTGCTGCAGAGGAAATTTGTTGAAATACCCCCAACTTGGAAGGCAGGAAATGGGGGGCATCAGAGAACTAGTTGGGCCAGATGATGAAAAGTGTGGACTGACAGAGGAGATGACCAGGAATCATGCCAACCCAGCAACTGCTGCAGAGGAAATTTGTTGAAATACCCCCAACTTGGAAGGCAGAAAATGGGGGGCATCAGAGAACTAGTTGGGCCAGATGATGAAAAGTGTGGACTGACAGAGGAGATGACCAGGAATAATAACCATGTGTCCTGGCCCAGGCAGAAGAGGGGAAGCCCACTCATTTATTCATTCAGGCAGTGTAGCCAGGAGTGCAGATCCTAGGGCCAGCCCGCCTGCACTCCCAGCCAGCTCTGCCTCTGAATCCCTTCACACCTGCCCTGATGTCAGCTCTTCTGAAAAATGACAACAGTACTTACTCCTGGGGTTGTGAAGGTTAAATGAGTTTAATACCAGTAAAGCGCTTAGAACATGGGCACATGTCAGGTATTCAGTAAACATGTGTAGAGTGTAGAATGGTTCATTTAAAACACACACACACACACACACACACACACACACACACACACACACACACACACACACACAAACACAGATTGAACAGGAGCAGGCTCAATGGCAAAGGAAACAGACCCGGCCCTACCGCTGTGGAATGGTCTAGATGTGACAGACATTAACGAATGATCACAGAAGCAAAGAACCCTGTTATTTATGATCAACTCTGTGAGAGAAAAAGACTAATATACAGTTTATTCATTTAAGGCTTATTTGCTGAAGCCAAGGAGAAAACAGCAATACTAGATGTTTAATATGTTTCAGATATAAACGTTTGTCAAATGTCAAGTAAAAATGCAAACTTATAAAACAGGAAACGGAAAACCTCCCTTGCCTTCCTAATGTAAACCACTAGCCACTGCTGGCCCCAAGGCTGCCTGAGACTTTAGTCTCCCCCTCCCCCCGGAACTGGTCTCTGGATGGAGGTGTCTGTCTTCAGGAACCTTCCTGACCTCTGGCAGCAGGCTCTCTATTGCAGGAGCTGAGTGGTAAAGACAAGAGGGGCCAGGAGGGCTCATGGTAGGATGTGCTGCTGAAATGGTCCAGGTAGACAAGGGCACTGTGGTCAGGGTTGGGGACCAGATAACAGCTGGGTAGGCCTCATTGTCATGGGGCTTGCATTCTGGGAAGCTTATGTAGAAAGGGTCTGACCTGGCTGGGAGTAGTCAGGGGCGGCCCCCCAGAGGGAATTGAAACCGGATTTGGAGAGGCAGCAGCCTGTCCCCAGGCATGGCAGGGGTGGTGCAGTCAAAAACGGAAAAGTGGCCCGCAAGGGGGACAGTGATGAAAAGCAAGGCCAGCAGGGTCAAATCCATCTGGGACAGCTAGGTGTGTGTGGGGTGGGGGAACAGGCGGTTGCAGCTAGACAGGATGGTGTATGGTCAGCCTTCAAACAGTGAAGGCTGTGGACTGTGAAGGCAAGGCCCACGCAGAGATGACTCACAGCCCTGCCATCCCCCTGCAGCACGGATCCCAAAGAAATCCCCTGGAAGACTGTTGGGAGCCCCTATGTGGTGGAGTCTACAGGCGTGTACCTCTCCATAGAGGCAGCTTCGGTAAGTGGGGGAGAGGTACCAAAGGCTGGCTGGGGGACTGTGGTGCTCGAAGCACCTCACATCTATATTTCCACCTTAGCAACACATCTCGGCAGGTGCCCAACGTGTAGTCATCACTGCGCCCTCACCAGATGCACCAACATTTGTCATGGGCGTAAATGAAAACGGCTATAACCCTGGCTCCATGAACATTGTCAGGTACCAGGGGCAGCAACCTCCTGAAGTGTGTGGGTGGTGTCCAGAGGACATGCCAGCCTGGAGGGGAGGGGACAGACTTGCTCTCCCCACCCCCATTCCCATTCGATCCTTGGTGCTGCTTTCACATCAATCTCCACCTGCTTCTCCTTCCCGAAGCCTCAACAGCCTGAAACTACCTGTTAGAAATGCATGACTTCTGTAGAACATGCTGGGGAGCTTCCTCCAGCTGCACCTCTGGTGCCTCCTCCAGTCTGACAGCATCCCCACTGATCCCTCTCATCCCCATCCTGACTTTTCGCAAAACCAACAACAGCCTGAAACTACCTGTTAGAAATGCATGACTTCTGTAGAACATGCTGGGGAGCTTCCCCCAGCTGCACCTCCGGTGCCTCCTCCAGTCTGACAGCATCCCCACTGATCCCTCTCATCCCCATCCTGACTTTTCGCAAAACCAAGCCTGTGTGCACCTTTACCCAGAGGGGTAAGGGTGGAAGGGTGGCTCTGTGACTCACCTCACAGTGCCCTTGCACAACTGGGCTATTTCAGCAACGCATCCTGCACCACCAACTGCCTGGCCCCCCTCGCCAAGGTCATCCACGAGCGATTTGGGATTGTGGAAGGGCTGATGGTGAGTTGGGGATGAGGGACTGGGGCGGGAGAGATGGCAGGGAAACCTAACTTCTTCGTCCCAGGCTTTGTTTAGTGTATGGAGTTAAGAGGCAGAGACTGGTTTTGGGAAGAGAGGCCTACCAGTGGAAAGGTCTTTTAAAACACTATACAACTCTCAGGCAAGGCTGGACCCTGGCCTACATGTGTCCTTCCTGTGGCCTGTGGTGGTAGCCTCACCAGTCTCCACAGCTAGGCTACCATCCTAGTCCTAGGAAGAAGAGGCACAGGAGCTTTGGAGCAGGAAGGCCTCACCTCAGGTCTCTTCTTCCCCAAGACCACAGTCCATTCCTACACGGCCACCCAGAAGACAGTGGATGGGCCATCAAAGAAGGCCTGGCGAGATGGACGGGGTGCCCACCAGAACATCATCCCAGCCTCCACTGGGGCTGCCAGTGCCGTAGGCAAAGTCATCCCAGAGCTCAAAGGGTATGAAGACAGGAAGCTGCAACCAGGGTGGGAGGCACACCCCAGGGGGACTGGGCTGGCCCCTAATCCGTGAGGGAAAAGAAGGGGCCTAGTTAAGTTCAAGGCAAGGGGGAATAGAGGGAGACTTCCCTAGGTTCTGACTCCCATCCTTGATGTGGGATTTCCTAGGAAGCTGACAGGAATGGCATTCCGGGTGCCAACCCCAGATGTGTCTGTCGTGGACCTGACCTGCCGTCTGGCCCAGCCTACCCCCTACTCGGCCATCAAGGAGGCCATAAAAGCAGCAGCCAAGGGGCCCCTGGCTGGCATCCTTGCCTACACCGAGGATGAGGTAGGGACTGAGAAGAGGACATCCTGGAAGGAGCCCTCTGGGGAGGGAGTATGATTCCCATTTGCCAGGGAGCCATTCTCAATGTGCCAGGATAGGAACTGCAGGGAACGTAGCTCTCTCTGCCTGAGGGCTTTTGCACTTGCTGCTCTTTGGTCTGGAATCTTGCTTCCCTAGGTGGCCACGCAATCTGCCCTCACTTTCTCCAAGTCTCTGCTTCAATCTCCCTCCTCAGGAAGGTAGTCCCCCGGAAAGATGTTCTTTTTGTGGCCCTTTTCCTCACCTGAAATTTCATCTCATAGTTGCTCTTGGCACTGATAGCACATGCACTCCAAGAAAGCAGGGATTTACAGGCTTATCTTTTCACTTTCATAGTTTCAGCTGTCTGCCCAGGGCCTGGCATACAGCCGGTGCTCAATACAAGCTTCACGAACAAAAGACAAAAGCTCCCGTTTTTTCAACACTTGCTTGGGGCCAGGCCATGGCCAGGTGCCTTGCCTACGAGAAGTAGATATCACCATCAAGAGTGCCATCTTGGGCTGGCCAGTTAGCTCAGTCGGTTAGAGCACAGTGCTGATAATACCAAAGTCCAGGGTTTGATCACCATTAAAAAAAAAAAAAAGTGCCATCTCTGTATGTCCACCTCGGTGCTGTCTCCCTGCTTTTGCTCCTGCAGGTCCACTCTCTGCCAGGACCTCTAGTTTTAATGAAATCACTGAGCTGCAGTGGGTCTCTGCCTCCACCCACGCGCTCTCGCCCGGGCCTGGGCCTGCAGCTCATTCTTGTTTTAATGGAATCAGATCATATCACCACCACTGCTGAGAAACCTCCTGTGGGCTTCCATCACACTAGGGCTAAACCCCTCAGGGCCTCTGTGCCTGCAGTTCCTTCCACCTCCGACACTGTGCTGATGGCCTGAGTCGGCCAGATTCCTAGTCACCAGACCCTGACTCATGGCCACCCCTCAGAAGGTTTCCATGCTGGCCCATTCCAAGTGCCTGCATTATTTCCAGGAAGCAATGTTTATTGGTACAGCATTAGGGTGTTTGTGGCTGTATCCTTTGGCCAGTCCCCCACAGGCAGAGCCCCCATCTGCCTTGGTGATACCCTGTCCCCAGAGCCTGGACACAGTAGAGCTCCATAAAATATTATAGAAAAATGGATGGACCTAAGAGTCAGAGCCTGAGCTCCCGGGAGTCCTTTCTCTGCTACTCACACTTTTCTTTGAAATTCTGATGCCAAGGTCGTCTCTACGGACTTCCTCGGCGATACCCACTCATCCATCTTCGATGCTAAGGCCAGCATTGCGCTCAACGACAACTTCGTGAAGCTCATTTCCTGGTAAGCGGATAGGGCTCAGAGAATTGTGGGGGAGACGAGGGTGGTCGGGAGGGGCCCCCTTGACAGCCCCCATTCCTCCCTCTCCAGGTACGACAACGAATATGGCTACAGTTATCGGGTGGTCGACCTCCTCCTCTACATGTTCAGCCGAGACAAGTGAAGCTGGAAGGCCCCTCCTTTGCTTCACTGTGTTTCCCCCCGACCACAACCTGTACCTCCCGTCCCCGCATTCGCCTCCCCCGGGGAAAAAGGGCGCTCAGCGTGAGGGCCCTGCGCCTCTGGGTCGATGGCGAAATAAAAAACAGTGCTCACAGCTACGCCCCGTGTCTCCGCGCCGGTCACGGTGGGTTCAGATCCAGGTTCAGGGCCGGCCCCACACTTATTCGATCGGCCTGCGCCCACGGAGGAGGGGTCGCGCTCGACTCCGAGCCCGGTTCCACTTCGGGCAAACTGGGATCAAAGTGGCAGCGGAGGCCGGGTAAGTCAGTCCCACACGCCCCAGGCTCGGGAGCCCGGGGAACTCGGGCCGGGCCGCGGGCGTTCTGACGTCACTGTGCGCGACGCCCCGGGACGGAACTACCGCTCCCAGAAGGCCGCGCGCGGGCCGCGGCCACTCGAGTGGGCTGCAGGCCCAGTCCCGGGCGCGAGCGCGGGCGGAGGCGGAGACCCGCGCTTGAAGACGCCGCCTCGCGACCCGGGCCAGTGGGACTGGGCGGCAGGCGTCATGACCCTGTTCCACTTCGGGAACTGCTTCGCCCTCGCCTACTTCCCCTACTTCATCACGTACAAGTGCAGCGGCCTGTGAGTGCGGGGCGGGCGCGGGGCGGAGAGGGCTCGGGGCCCAAGCCGACCCCTCACCGCCCGCTTCTCCAGGTCCGAGTACAACGCCTTCTGGAAATGCGTCCAGGCCGGGGTTACCTATCTCTTTGTGCAGCTATGCAAGGTGAGGGCCGCCCGGACCCACGTGTGTGGCCTCCCGGCTCTCCAGACCCAGGGACCGCCCCCGCCGCTTAGCCTCCTTGGTGGGACAGCCCTCGGGACTTCGTATAGGGACGGCTCCAGAATACCTGTAAGGGATGGACTCTAGAAGGGTGGAACCTGAGAAGGGGTCTGGAAGCAATTTTTGTATAGCTCTTTTGTTTATTTATTTTGGGGGGCGACTGGCCGATACGGGGATCCCAACCGTTGACCTTGGTGTTTTAATATCGCGCTCTAACCAACTGAGCTATCCATTCAGCCCTGCACAGCTCTTTTAGTAAAACTGAGAAAACCTCACCTGTATGGTTTACTAAGCGTTTTTTTGGTACGGTTGAGAGCAATAACTTACCCGCAGGGTGTTACACAGTGCTGATAACATTGCCAAGTAGCTACCCCGGCACCTCCAGACCTGACTCAGATTCCTTATGATCACTACAGAACTCAAACTTCCACTCCTTCGGGCACCAGGGCACCTACTCTCTAACTCCCTCTAGATCTGTAATCTTGCCCCCATCTGGTGAGCCCTCTCCCAGATGGGCCCCCCAAACCTCAGTATTCTGCTCTCCACATACACAGTTACTTCCCACAGAACCCTCGTAGTTTATCCCCTTACCTTGAAGTGACCTCTTTTTGCTTTCTGTTTTCAGATGCTGTTCTTGGCCACTTTCTTTCCCACATGGGAAGGCGGCATCTATGACTTCATTGGGGTGAGTGGAGCAAGGGGGGGGGAGGGAGTGCAGGAGTGAGGCTCCCTGGCCCTTGTGCTTACTCAAGCCTCAACCTAACCCACAGGAGTTCATGAAGGCCAGCGTGGATGTGGCAGACCTGATAGGCCTAAACCTTGTCATGTCCCGAAATGCTGGCAAGGGGGAGTACAAGATCATGGTTGCTGCCCTGGGCTGGGCCACCGCCGAGCTCATTATGTCCCGGTATGTGCAGCAGCCTGGAGCCCAGACTCCTGAGAAAGGATACCTGGGTTCCACATGGGTGCTGGAGGGGGCAGTCTCAGAGTCTGGGTGCTGAGGGTGCCTGGGTACTGGAGAATCCCTCCCTTTACCTTCTTCAGCTGCATCCCCCTCTGGGTTGGAGCCCGGGGCATTGAGTTTGACTGGAAATACATCCAGATGAGCATTGACTCCAACATCAGTCTGGTACGCAGTCCTGCTCTCCCACACACACCTTTTTGCTGATGACCATACTCCTCCTCTAGGCCTGGCCCCAACTTCCTGTCTCCCTCCAGGTTCATTATATCGTCGCATCTGCCCAGGTCTGGATGATAACACGCTATGACCTGTACCACACCTTCCGGCCAGCTGTTCTCCTGCTGATGTTTCTTAGTGTCTACAAGGCTTTTGTCATGGAGTGAGCTGGGTGGGGTGTGAGGCTGGGTCCAAATGGGGGTGGGTTATCTATTTCCTTCTCTCATTGTGATATTTTCCCACAGGACCTTCGTCCACCTCTGCTCCCTGGGCAGCTGGACAGCACTGCTGGCCCGAGCAGTGGTAACAGGGCTGCTGGCCCTCAGCACCTTGGCCCTGTATGTTGCCGTTGTCAACGTGCACTCCTAGGCTCAATGTCCCAGACATTGACGTACCTTTTCCCTGCCTCTCTCCGGGTTTTAGTGAAGTAAACAGAATTTGGAAAAGTGTATCTGCCTTCATTTCTCTCAGGACTGTCCCCAATACCATGCCCACCTAGGTCCCAGTGGTCATCTTTCTGACTTTGGAGCCAAGTAGACAAAGAAGATAGCCAGTCCACTGACTAGTCATGTGTTCCTGGAGCAGTTCCTGAGGCTCTTTGTTTTCCCAGGGTAAACTGCGGGTTTGAAGTAGATGACTTTGAGCAGTGGCATAAGCCAGGGAACAAGTGACAGAGGGGAGCTAGAATTGAAGAGAGGGCTCTTGGGGGCTCCTCCCAGTGTCAACCTGGCCTTTGCCCACATGGGTAAAGGCTGGTTACCTCTTAGGCTTCTGATCCCAATCTCACCCTCTGAGTCATCCTCTATATTATGGAGGATTGAGTTTATTATAAGGGATCTGTCTGAAACCCATCTTACTAGGTCACACTCCTCTGCCTACAACCATTGGTAGCTCCTCATCGCACAGTGGACCATCAGACCACTTGATCTTTGGTTTTGCCTTTCACCTCCCTGGAGCTGCTTTCTAGAATTATTTGCCCAGCCAAATTCTTAACATTGAAGCCACAGGGCCACCATGGAGTGGCAGTGATGGGACAGACTTGTGATTCTGAGCTCCTCAGTGCTTTGACTTAGTTCTGTGACCTTCATCAAATCCTGCCCTGAGTCTTCTTAAGGTGGAGTACAGAGACAAGTACAGCCAAAGAGCAGAGCAGTCGAGCCCACCAGCTTGGATATTGTCCTGAATGCCACCCTCCATTCTCAACCCCCATCCCTTCCTTGTTCCAGTGGAGCCAGCTCCCTGCTGCATTCCCTCTCTCTCTGAGGGGGGTGTGTCAGAAGCAGGCTTTGAGTGTCATGCTTGAGCTCCACCTTGATGCAAATCCTGCCCACCCAGAGTGCTCCCCAGCCCTGGTGTTCCCAGTGGGATCCCTTAGGGAGTGAGATAGGGCAGTTGCTCCTTCCCTCCTTAACTAGGCTGTTGAAGTCCTGCATGATATTATTTCATTTTGGGTCTAGGAAAGCACCAAGGACAGCTCTGTTAAAGCTCTGCTGTGAAAGTCTTTTGGTGTTTTCAGGGGGAGTATTTACCCTCAGATGGGTCAGACACCATCTAGCCCCACCCTTCCTCATGGCCCTGAGTAAAGACTGTGTCCACAGGTGTCTTGGGGGTGGAGGAGTGACTGACTTCCCTGAGTTTGATGTGGAAAGGAAGTAGATGGGGCACTCCCCTAGACCACCTGGGTAGATATGTAATGGAGGTCGTTCTCCCACACCTCCATTCCATGCCCCACATAGCACTTTATACATATTGGGACAAGTAAAGACTGCAGAAATGACCAACTGAAAAAAATCCCAGCTATCATGACGTTCAAGGAGACAGACCAAAATGCTTGGGGCTGAGGTGGAGGGAGCACAGGCTACAGCAATCGGCTGTGTGGGTGAAGTTGGGATGAGGGTAGGTCTGATGAGCGACACTAGTGATCAGGGCTATGGTGGGTGAAGCCTGGGCAGTGATAGACTGTGATGAGGTAGGTTTCAGTGACCAGGGTTATGATGGGTAAGGCCAGGGTAGGGGTAAGTCTGATGAGCTAGGCTACAGTGATCAGGGCTGTGACAGGTGAAGCCCAAACAGGTGTGGGACTGTGATGAGCTAAGCTACTGTCATCAGGGCTGTGATCCGTGAAGCTGGTGCAGGGGTAGGTCTGATGAGCTAGGCTACAGCGACCAAGGCTATGCAGGTGAAGCCTGGGCAGTGATGGACTATGATGAGCTAAGCTACAGTGATCTGGGCTATGACAGGTGAAGCTGGGGCAAGGGTAGGACTATAATGAGTTAGGGTACAGTGATCTGGGCTGTGCCAGGTGAAGCCTGAACAGGGGTAGGACTATGAGCTAAGCTACAATGATCAGGACTGTCATAGGTACAGCTGGGCAGTGGGAGGGCTGTGATGAGAAATACAGGGACTCTGGTGCCCAGGGCCATAGCCTATGTTGGCATCAGGGCAGGGTTGGGTCCTTCAAGGCGTTTGTAGGAGCTGAAATTTGAAGGAGGAGTTAGAGGGACAAGGTAGGTGTAAAGGCCTTGAGGTCAGAGAGAGGGCTTAGCCTTTTCAGGGAAACATAAGAGCTGGTTGTAACGAGTTCAAGGGAGCTTATGAGACTACAGATGTTGGCAGGGGCCAGATCACAAAAAGTTCTGAGGCTAGTTGGGGATTTGACCAGGGGCATTGGGGAACAATGGAGAGTTCTGGGCAGGGGCAGGACAGGGTCAGATTTGTCTTTAGGAAGCTCTCCATGGCTGCTGTGTGGAGAAGGATACTGAGGTCAGGAAGCCAGGGCTGGACCAGAGTGAGGCTGGCAGGGGTAGGAGGAGAGCAGCTAGGAGCAAGTAGAGAGATGTTGGTGACCAGCAGGCAGTGTGTTTTTGTCTTGCCGGCAGGGGGTGCAGTGGGGAGGTGACAGGTAAGGAACAGGCACAGGAGTCTAGGATAACGCGAGTGGGGCCTATAACCTCCCTGAGGGGCTCACCACATTTCCCATGGAGAAGGAACCACACTGATGGGACAGTGGTGCTGCCGGTGAGATTGGGGCAGTGGATGGGAGCAGGTTTGGGCGATGAGCTGAAGCCAGTGCGGGTCACTTCAGACGTGCTGGGGGAGGCTGGAGACAGATGTGAGCAGCACTGCCGAGAACTGAAGCTGTGGGGGGGGCTGGAGGGCTGTGGTGACTAGGGAGGAGAAGCCTGTAGCCCAGCCAGAGAAGCTCATATTAAAGAAAGGGGAGGAGAAGCAAGCAAAGGGGACTGAGAAAATGAGTAGCCAGAGGTGGAGGGTAGGGAAGACAGAGGCGTTTCCAGCAGTTGGAGGGGTTAACTTTTCAGGTGAGAGGTATGAGGAAGAGACATCCAGGAGTTGGTTAGGGACTGACCGATGCCGGAGCAAAGGAGTGAGTGAGTAGAATCAGAGTGGGGACACCTGTGCAGGGTGGGGGCAGGGGATGCTTGATGTGGAAACAATTTTGACCCCCTTGTGTCAAGGAGCCTCCAGGAGGGAAAAGAGGTGCTGAAAACAGAGAAAGCCTAGAGGCGGTGGACAGGGTAGTGGAGTGGTTAAAGGCACCCCACTCTGGAGGACGCCTGTGGTCACATCCCAGCTTGCCTGTAAGTGCCATAATTCTAATCATTTACCCCAAGGAAGGTTTCTTGAGTACCTACTTTGTGCCAGGCTGTCTGTGTTCTAGGCACTGCAGATGGAGTCCTAAACAAACAACCCCTTTTTTGTAGGATTGTGGGAGATTAAAGGCGCTAATGAAAAACACTTAAGATGTACCTGCTACCAAATAAAAGCACAGTCAGTGTGAGCTGGTTTTATTACTGTCATGCAGAATACAAGTATATTTTTAATGAAGAGCCCCCAGGCAGCCCTCTTTCCCAGACTGGAGTCCTAAGGACAGACACACTTTACCAGGAGCTGCTAGTTCCCACACCTTATCAAAGCCCCCACCTCCACCTCAGATGGGGGCTTTCCCAAGGGCAGCTCAGAGGACTGTGCCTAGGTACTACTCCAGGAGGGCGGGGAACTCGGGGATGGGGAAGAGTAGTGTGTAGGGTCCCTCCAAGGTTGAGGTGCCATGGGCTGCTGAAACACACACAGCTGGTGCTAAAACTCTTGATTACTCAGATGTTTTGGTGGATTTCCAGAGGGTCTCATGAGCCCTGCCCCCACCTGGCCATGTTGGATGCAGAAATGGCTTGAAGGCAGCTGTCCCTCTAATAGTAGAGTTCCTGGTCCCACCAGCCTGGGAGAGATAGGGAGAAAGGAGACTTAGTGGTTGGGGGATACTGGGTTGTGGGGGCGGGAGGGGACAGGGAACTATACTCAGAGGTCATGAATCAGTGTCAATTTGATATGGAAGGTCAAGGGCTTGGAAGTCAAGTGTTGAGGATAAAAGGTCAGGGCAGCTGCTCTGAGAACATTTCAGCCCCCCCACCCCCACATCTGTAGTCTCCACACTCACTCCCTGGGCAACAGCGAACTCCAAGTTTCCTGATCTCATCATAGACGAAGATGAGCAGGCCATAGGGCATGGGGACCAGCCACCACTGGAACCTGAGGGCACAGGCGAGATGGCAAAGTGAAGGCTATCCCCAGCTCTGTGTCCCACATCCCCCATCCCTCTGCTCCCACCTTACAACCCCTCACCGAATGGGCATGAAGTTGAAGATGTTGGGCATTCCAGGGCAGTAGCACAGGAAGCAGCCGATGCAGACCTGGAACACGATAGCAATCACCAGGATCCTATTCCTGCAGGTGAGGCAGGATGGGACAGGCTCAGGTGGGCATGCTCAGGAATAAGGTAGGCTCAGGAGTTGGGAACCAGATGGAAATCAGGGTACTGTGTTAAAGTAAGTCAGATGTCAACATCAGCAGGCAGATGTTCTAAACACCTAATGCTGGAGGGGCCAAGGCCTCTCCAACAGCGGGTGCCGGCTCTGTCAACCCCCTTAGTTGAAGAAATATGGAGGGGCTAGTTTAGAGGCAATGTGGTGGGAGCTATTGGCCGGTTGATAAGAAAGTGTTTCAGTATGTTAGCACCTGACACCAGCACATCTGGTGCTGGCATTGTATTATAGTCAGGACCTGATGGGAGTTGGGACCAGGGGTTGGAGGGCAGGCTGGAGCAGGGCTAGGGTCGGCTGGAGACACCTGAAGAAACCCTGCTGGAAGGCAGAGAGGCGGCGTGTCTTGCGGATGAGGACATCAGCGATCTGGCACATCTCGATGCTGATGAAGAACACAGTGTAACACGTGTACTGCTGGTACAGGCGCTGCCCGAATGTCTGTTGACCAGGAGGGAACAAATGCAGCCTAAGACGAGAGGGAGAGCCTCTGCAGCCAGCCAGGCACTAGGGTGCTATGGCCATGAACTCCTAAATGCTCCCTCTCCCTTGCATCAGAGGCTGCGGGGTGGGGAGGCAGGGGAGGAGAGATGCAGGATCTTTCTGCATCC